GTGTGTGACTGCTTGTCTGTGATTTTCTAAATACTTCATCCAGGATCAACAAAATCTGCTCTGAGAGAGTCTTCATATTTACTTTAATACAGAATGTAATAACTTTTACTAGATAATGATGAGTAAATATTACATGAATTTGTAGCATTTAAATTTACTTAACAAACATTAGTGCAAATTTGTTAGAGGATTTTTTCAAGTACATCTTACAAGTTTTTTTTTTCAGTGAAGATGTTCCCCATCGTCCTGCAGGTGTGGAGGCTATCAACTAACATTTACTCAATAAAAAAGAGCTAATGTGCTAAAAAAAAAGATTCATCTTATCTTCTAAAAAAACTTTGTGTTTTTGTCTTCAGGGTCTTCCTGGACCTCCAGGTGAAAAGGGGGAGAACGGTGATGTTGGACCCATGGTGAGTGTCACACCTGCTGCTTTCAGCTCAAATGAACCACATCAGTAAATGACTGGATGCTCTTTTTGTGCAGGGCCCTCCTGGTCCCCCTGGTCCCAGAGGTCCCCAGGGTCCGAGCGGAGCTGATGTGAGTAAAAACTAAATCAGTAAATCCAAAACTTTTTGTCATTATTCTAAWGAAAACACAACCATAAGRCGGCAGCAACAGGTCTGGAGAAACCTGTTTCAGGTCGGTGAACCATCCCAGTCTGTAGACCTCCAGGACCTGAGGAGACCAGTTCTGGAGGGTTTGGAGGGAAAGTTCTCTTGTTCTGGTCTGATGGAGGATTATAACTGTTTAACAGGTCCAGATGGGAGCAGATGTTCTGAAACCTGTAGAAACTTTTCTGCATTGATGGCTGCCCATGTCAGGGTCACTAATGCACCCCCATACCAACAGAGAGGCCAACTTTTCAACCGTTCTCTGATGGTTCTACTCTTTTACTTAATTTACTTACATGAGTTAACTGCTGTAAAATAGTTCTGTCATCACATGACGACAGATGACATCACTGCAACGTGATTGGACGGCTGCAGTGAAGGACCAGATCACTCCTGCAGGGTCATAAAACTGCTTCCTGCAGCTTCCTGTTTGACATTATTTTTATTCCCATAAACCAGGGTTCTGCAACCTGTGGCTCTGGGGCCACATGTGGCTCTTTGGTCCCTCTGCAGTGACTCTTTGAAAATGTGACCAAACGTAACAGAATTTGTTTATTTTTTGTTTTTTATACTCACAACAGAAATAAATTTGAATGCAAATATGTAATCAGTAGAACTTATACAAAAGATAAAACATGTTAGCTCATGCTAGCCTGCTATTTACTTAAATAATCCAACTTCTTTCTATGATCTTTCTTTCAAATCTATCAGAATTACCTTTAAATAATTTGAAAACTACATAATAATAAGAACTAGAAAAAATTATACCTGAATAGTTCAATTGAACTAGTTTTTAATAAGATTGGTAAAAAAAATACAATATTTTTCTTGTTTTCATCAATCTGGTCTTTTCATTTGTCCTGATGTGCAAACATAATAATGAATAATAAAATTCACAATATATTTTTTAGTTTTATAATGTCACCTCCACTGGCCATGAAGATTCCTGAAAAGGCCTTGAWAAGGCCCACGGACCACCAGTTGATATTCAGAGTTGTAGCTTGTTTTGCGGCTCTGAACACATTTTATTWGTGAGACAAAGAGCAGAAATGGCTCTTTTGATTGTAAAGTTTGTGGACCCCTGCCATAAACACACAAACACTGTTCCAAAGCAGCTCAGTGTGTGACAACAAAGCCCCCCGCCGCCGGCCCACTTCTCCCCCCCCCCCAGGCTTAATTACCGAACCAAATGATGTGACTTTCCTTTCAGGCTGCGACCCAAAGTTAATTACACATTTATTGCGTGTACCTGCTCAGGGTCAGGCAGCTCGTCCATGATCCATCTTCTTCTTTGTGTCACACTGCAGGGTCCTCAAGGTCCTCCTGGAGGTGTGGGTCCCATGGGATCTGTGGGTGAGAAGGTAAGTGCCCCCCCCCAACCTGGATTATTCCTTTTTAATGTGAGCAGGTTTAAAGCTGAAAATTAAAAGTTAATGAAGATTTATGTTTGCTGTAGCTGTTAAATAAACATTTAGGTTTTAAATGAGAATATGTGTTTCGTCACATTAATGTCTAAGTTTAGAAGCTCCGTGCGTCACGTTAAAGGTTGATCTGACTTTTATTTAACCACAGGGTGAACAAGGTGAAGCTGGAAACCCGGGACCACCTGGAGAGCCTGGAACCGGGGTGAGAAAACTTCATTTTTTTTGTTGTTTTAAGAAGTTTGTGGCACCAGGATCAGGAGTTGTTTTTAGCTCGGCTTCAAGCTTTTAGCAGCTTTTCTCACATCTGCGTTCCTCTGAAGCTGCTCGGGTTTATTTTAGCAGCAGCAACGAGCTGATACTGTCTGCTGCACAGATATTGGGAGGTTATAGATAGATCATTAGGAGTGGCCCGAGGGCAGAGCAGAGACTCAGAGAGGGATGACTCCAAACATCCAGGCCTCACAGCAGGGCTGCTCTGCTCCGCTCTGCAGGAGGCCCACTGGGACGCTTGTCTGAAGATGGAAACCATCAGGACTATAGAATATGTAGAATATAATATGTTTGATGCTTCTGACCTGAAAAATAATGTCCTCAGGCATAAAAACACAAACTCAGGCTCAGATTAATCAGTTTTTTTCTATTTGCACCTGTTTTTAGATGCTGTATTTTCAGGTAATTAAAGTGTTGAACTCATATCAGCATCAACACTGATGTCAGACAGAACAGCATCATTATAGTTAAATAAAATTAACTAAACAACAAAAACTGAAATTGAAAAAAAAACATTTTAGTTAACTAAAATAAATAAAAACTGTAATAAAATGAAAAAAAAGATTAACTAAAACTGTATAATCATTTTACAAAAATAACTAAAACTAACTGAAATTATAGATAAAATATCTTTAGTTTTAGTGTTTCTCAGTTTATTTTGAGATATGTGGATCTCTGAAAAACAAGCAGCAGGTTGGAGTCACCCACGTTTTTAGTTGGCTAAACTGAGTTGTGCAATTATTTTAGGAAGGTGTTGCTATAATGGAGGTTTTAACTAGTGACCAAATAGCTGCTGGTTAGTTAACTCACAGGAACGTCACAAGCTGGAGGATGCATAAACTATAAAAAAAAACTAATACTAGAACTCATAAAAACTAAACTAAACTAAAACTAAACATTAAAATTCAATAATAACTAATAAAAACTATCAAATCCAATGTAAAAACGAAATAAAACTAAACTATAATGAAAAATACAAAACTATTCTAACCCTGAGACAGAAATAAATTTAAATAAGATAAAATCAGACGATAAGAGTTTTGTTCTGTTTCTTAGTTTTTCTTTTAAAAAGCACAGTTTTGGACCTTCAACATGAGGGTCCTATGTTTTAATCTGTCAGAATCCATCATACCTGAGCAGATAAAGACCCTCAGATCCAGACCCTCATTCTCTGAGTTCAGGTCTGACTAGATGCTGCCTGGTCTCTGCAGGGTCCCAAAGGTGAGAGAGGAGAGAAAGGAGAGGCCGGCCCCCCCGGAGCTGCTGGACCTGCCGGAGCCAAAGGACCCCCTGGAGATGATGGTCCKAAGGGTAACCCTGTAAGTCTGACGAACACGTAGACGTGTGAGAAGGAGCCTCTGATGCTCCGTCACATCCAGCTGTCAGGTCTCCTGCAGTCTGAGATCTGATCAAGAGCTGAAAAATCAGGTTTTATTTTAGGCATCTTCATCTTCATCATCATCATCTTCATCTTCATCATCATCGTCATCATCATCATCATCATCATCGTCATCATCATCGTCATCATCATTATTATTAGGTCCATGAAATCACTGCCTCCTCACAGCTTGTCATTATTTTCTTTATTTTTTTGTTTTTTTACAGGGTCCTGTTGGATTCCCTGGAGACCCAGGCCCTCCTGGAGAGCCAGGTGTTGCTGTAAGTATGACATCTTATTTTTGGCCTTTGCACATGAGGTCACGTGGGGTCACGTTTTGTGGATTAAAGGCTTTTCTAAGCRGCTCGTCATTTTTTACAGGGAACTGATGGAGAACCAGGAGAGAAAGGAGAGGATGGAGAATCTGGTCAACCTGTAAG